TTGGGAAGATGAGTAATTTCTGGAGATCATGGTGATGGCTGCACAACAATGTGAATGTACTTAAAGCCACTCATGTGTACCCTGAAAATGGTTAAAATGGTCATTTTCATATTATGTATAGTTTACCACAATAAAAAATGACACCTTGGGGCATCCAGCATATGGAAATCCCATAGATAAGATGGTGGGATATCAAGAAGATAAAAGAGTATCTGAGTAATCAGCTTTTGAAGAATATAAAATCTCTATTCAGATATCCTTTTTGAAATTATTTTTCTTTAATACAAGAGATAAAGCAATACAGCAGTTTTAAAAGGGAGAGCTAAGGTAAAATAATTTAAAAATTCTGTTTTTAACATGTTCTTAAAATTTAAATATGCATGAAGGTCTGATGTATACAAGCACAGGGCTAAGTGATATTAGAGATACAAATACAGAAAGTTTATTTATTCATTTTATTGATTTCAGAGAGGAAGGGAGAGGGATAGAGAGATAGAAACATCAATGATGAGAATCACTGATTGGCTTCCTCCTGCATGCCTCACACTGGGGATCGAGCCCACAACTTGGGCATGTGCCCTGACCAGGAATCGAACTATGACCTCCTGGTTCATAGGTCAGCATTCAACCACTGAGTCACACCGGCTGGGCCAAATACAGAAAGTTTTGGTCCCTGTGCTCAAGGAGTTTATAGGGTTACAGGAAGACACAGCCATGAATAAGTTGGAGACGGCAATAACTGTGCTCTGAGAGCTGTGCGTGAGTTAAAATATACAGCTCTGGGAGTATGGAGGAAGATGATTTTAATTCTAATTGTGGATCTTTTCCCTATTCTTCACACCCACCTTAATTCTTCCATCCTTGAGAGCCAGATCAAGCCCCACTGCCCCTGAGAAGCCATCCCTGATTGTTCCAACCCACTGTGGTCGAACTTTTGGACTCCTCCTACAATTGCATTCTAGAAACTATTCAGAGTCTGGCCCCTTACAGTTTTAGGCAGACATTGTAAAGTGGCTAATATACTATATTTGTATGCATTTTTATGCACTCCCCCTCTCTGGTTAGAAGCATCCATTGCTTGGGGATGATTCAGATCTTTAAAGTAGGATTAAAAGAAAAATGGGAAAAAGTGGGTTTCGAGTCCATACTACAGAAAGGTTTTGAAAGCCAGGTGTGGTCAAAAGCAAAAGGGTTTTCTAAATTCCAAAAGCTCCGCTTATCAGATCCGAAGACACCAAGCTTGGCAAAGTCAATGGCAGAATTTTACCCTAACTCACAGCATTGTCACAGAATAGAGACAATAGGGGAGTTCCCACCAGGGAAGATGAGGAGAAAGCATTCCCAGACAAGGAAGAGGAGAAGGATTTTGTGTGGATGCCCCCAGGGTAAGAATAGAGTCAGGTTCTCTGAGAATCTGAAAGGCCTGGACTTTCTTGGGACTTGACCAAAGGTGGGAGTTACTTGACTGAAACACTAGACTAGGTTTTCTGGAACCCCCAGGCTGCTACTCTGCCCCTCTGTATCCCATATGGTTAGGAGGAAATCTTAGAAAAGTATGAGACCAAGAGCTCTGATTCCACAGGATGCATGTATTGTATGTAGGGGTCTCTTAAATTGCCTTGAATTCTCTGTGGACTCACAGAGGTGCTGAGCCCCTGAAATCCTGAGTCAGATGGGAAGGATAACAAATGCAAGACTTCTCCACAGACATATATTTGATGACTATGTATATTGATGGTGTGAGCAACAGCATAATACCCACAACAGCAACAACAGCAGATGAGATTAGTCATGTGGAAGATACCAGTACAAATTGTTCAGGAACCAGACCACCCCAGCCTCTCTCTGGTGGACAGCAGGGAAAACAGCACACAGGGCAGCCTGCCTTACCACCAGAGGGCATGCCATGCATCCAACCATCTTGTGAAGGAACATAGAGGTGCTTCTTGAGAAAGGGGAAATATCCCCGATTGAGCATTTATACTTCAAATCCACTAAATATTGTCCAAGTTAGACCAACTTACACCTAAGAAACTATTCTAAAAGAAAAAAGATTTAATTGCCTTTCATTGGAAAATTTAAATTGGTAGGACCAAGAAAATTGAAATTGGTAGGTATAAAAACCAAAAGTATCCTTTTATTTTTATTTTTTGACCCATTTAACTTAAAGTGTGTAAATATTCACCACTTTTAACCTGTTTTTTTTTAACAAGTAGATTGTAATCTGAGATCTGTGGCATGCTCTATGCTCTATGTGTAATAGGTACCCCTAAATATACGCTACATGAAGAACCAAAAGGAAGAAAATGCAAATTTCATTTCCTCTTTGCCACTCATTCCACCAAAGCCAAAATAAATGACAAAACAGAGAGATTAAAAAAAATAACACAAGAGAAATCAAGAGAGAGAGAGAGAGTTAGTTTTGGAAAAAGCACGGGTATTATGAAACTCATAGGGCTTAGTCCCTAGAATATGAACACTGCTGGCCATGACAGTCTTCCTGCCAACCTTTCTGTCAATCAGCCGAGGTAAGTATCTACCTGGACCAATAGAGTCCTGCAAAAGTAATAAGCAAAGTTTTCAATCTTCAAAAATGTTTGAACATCTCTCTCTTAGAATGGAAACTCCTGGAACCTCTCATAAATGGATATTTCCCTTGGGGAATGAATATCCTCTCCAGGGTCAAGCCTGCATTCTCCTGAAGATTCAGTGAGGCAACTTTGACAAGAAAGTCACATTTTTTTCTTCCCTATTCTCTTACCTTGAAACCCACTTTGCTTTAAGAAGTCATGGGATATACTTTTTTTTTTCTTATTGGAGTTTCCAGTGGGGGAAAGATTCTATACAAAGCAAAAGACAATCTGAAAAGTTGGCAACTACACCGGGGAAGTCTTAATGAGAAAGCGAACAGACTGCCTGGCTTTTTCTTGCCCTGTATGACGAGGTGTGCAAGGCTGTTAACAATAGAACTCTGCAAAAAAACACTGTGGAAAGCAGGTGAATATTGATTCTCTGTCTTAGCTCATAAATAATTAATGAGACAATTGCAGTTTAAAGATATAGGCATTACATTTTTAAAAAATCTGGCACAATGGTATTCAGAAACTCTCTATGCAGTAGCCCATAAAAATATCCTTCCCATCCTTTAAGAAGCTACTCGCATTTCATGAAGCCTTCCCTGACCAGTCCAGCCCTCACCCATCACTCCCATCTCTGAACTCCAAGAGCATTTATTGCTTGCAGCAATCACTCAGCATAAGCTGTTAGGTATCTTTTTTTAAAATCATAAAACAAACATAGTCCAATGGATAATAAAATTCTCCAGGGTAGGGATCACATTAAATTCCTCTTATTATCCCAAAGACCTAGCCTGGAGCCTGATCCACAGCCCACAAGTGTTCAATAAATGTTTGTTGTTCATGATGATATGTTGCAGACACATCTGAAACACAATCTGGATAAACACAATACAGGAAAAGTGCAAATCATCATCTAACGAACATGTGAGCCAAGCAATCGATACAAGAGAGCTGTCTGCACACCCAGTGAAAGACAAAGTAATGCCCTTCTCCCTGCCCCAACATCCAACACGGTGATGGATTGTGCTACATGAAATTATCGATAAAGAGCAATGTAGTCACAATGATTCCTAAACAGTGGCAAGAAATATTACATACAAAATGCACCCTTGCAACAAAGACAGCAGAACTGAGAAGCTATGGAGAGGAACAGATAGAGTAAGTGGATGAAGAACCACTTTGCAAATAAGTAACTTCAAGCATAATAAAAATGCGATGCTTTCATTTCCTCCTTCTCTATCTCCCCAGCCCAGAGGCCGAGATGCTGATTTCTGGCAAGATAGGTCGCATGAGCGTCACTTGTCCCTTAAACAAAGGAGCAGGAAGGCAAACTGGGGCATTCAACCTTTGCCAAAACAAACCCAACCCTTTCAAATGAGGTATGTTCTCACGATGTGAGGCAGGCTGAGTAAATTCATACAATTTTCATTACGTGCACAAAGAGAGTAGAACAACATACTTACCTCTGGTCTGAATTCCTGTCTTCTTCCATAAGATCTGACATTGACTTAGTAGTAGGAATCTCGGGTCAAATCCATACCAGCAGTAAACCTCATATTGTCTTTCTCTATCATTCATATTTACCCTTTCTCTGCTTTCACCTTTCTTTTTATCCTGGAGGTGGGGAACTCATAGGCAGAAGGCTCTACCACATTTATGGAACATAAAGATAACGTACTCAGCACTAGCAGTGTCTAACTGACATGAAGCAGGGGGAAATCAATCAGACCAATCCCAAAGTCCCAGGGCCCTGGGCAGAGAACATGGACAAAGGGAGGAACAAGAGAGGACCCAGATTGGCATTCCCACTCCGCCCCAGCTTGTACATAGTTTGTTGTCAGATGGACAGCCAGAACATGACGATCGATTTAACTGATCACTTCAGTAGAATACTGATAGTGATTCAACTGATTTTTAATACTATTTACTAGTTATTTGGCCTAATTTACCAACCAGTAAGATTTGAACTTGTGCATTTAGTCTTCATTTCATCCACTACCATGTTTCTCAGTGACCTTTAACATTTTGAATGGGTTAAAGAACTTTCAAAGTGAATTGGCCACATAGACACAGCTCTAATGACCTGGTTTTTCTCCACTGCTCTTAGTCTTTTTGATGCATTAAATCCACTAGCTAAAGAAAATTAGGATTGAATTCCATGGGTTAATCGATGTGTAGCAGTTTCTATAACCAACATGGCTTTCTTCACAGACAAACGAAGACCCAAACCATCTCATCTCCTTGAAACGATTGGCCCGTAGCATCTCTTTGTGAGCCAAAGTTCTCATTGAGCTAAAGAAAGAATTATACATATATAAAGTATTCCTAAATTTAGAGAACGCAAAATGCTTTTATTATATGATATAGAATTTTCCTTCTAGATCCTGAAGACTTGGACTTAGAAATTATTTATGTACTCACAGTCATTCACGTCCTGTTGGCACAGTGGACTGAGGTGCTCTGAGCTTTTCCTTTGTCTGTAGGTAGAGGTGGAAATCTTTCAATGAGATGTACTCATGTCCAGGAACACCCAGAAGGAAAACAGGAAAGAGCCTAAACCGAAACACAGAGGAACTCATTTAGCCCTGCTGTTTCTTAGGGTGATGGAAGCAGCCTGTAAAATGGTGAGTGGGGGCAATGGCTGGAGTCAGCACAAGGAGGCACTACGGGGCAGAAAATGGGATTCCCCACTAGATGGCACTAGGACACATCTGTGGCACCCATGGGTACTGTTACCAAGCAGAGCACAGGGATAGCATCAGCTTTCACACATCTCTTAGGCAAGGCCTTAGATAGAGTGCCATAGGGACTGAAGTTGGTATATGTGGGTATTTCATACCTCCTTAGGTTTAATCCTACATTGAAGGTATTCCTGGGTGGTACATGTGCATGTTCATATGAGTATGATTAAATATGTGGGTATGAATGTGCCTATGTGAGAACACCCATATACACATACATAAATATGTATGCACATATACATACACACCTATATATTAGATGATATTGATATGGGTTCATATAGGCATAGATATGGGGGGTATTATTACAATAAATGGAAATCGTGTTGGAAGAAGGGGACTAGTTTCTGTGGAATGTGTTCTGTGTACCAGGCCTTTTCATATACTTTCTCATTTCCCCTTCACCATAGCTGTGAAAGGTGGCTATCACTACCCCCTTCACTTCCATACATTTTGATCACAGCTTATTTTTTGAACACCTGTTGATATCCAGAGGCACAGTATTCCTCAAAACCCATCTTGAGGAAAGCAACTCAAGGCAATTCAGAAAGAGTTCTGGGATACGTCTTATCAATATTGTAGCATTAATCACACTATATAATAAAGAGCTGACATGCTAATTAGACCAAACAGCAGAACGACCTTCCAGAGGACCGTCTGGATGACCTTCTGGACGAAGTTGGGGCTGCGAGGGGCTGCAGGGGCTGCAAGGGGCTGCAAGGGCCAGCCAGGGCTGCGAGGGCCGGCCGGCCAGGGTTGCAAGGGCCAAGCCCCTCTCACAAATTTCGTGCATCGGGCCTCTAATAATGATAATAATTGCCTTTTACTTGTATTTCTATATTAATACTATTTTACCTCAAAATACTACCAGATCTTTGAGGGCCAAGCCCCTTTCACAAATTTCGTGCATCGGGCCTCTAGTAATGATAATTGCCTTTTACTTGTATTTCTATGTTAATACTATTTTACCTCAAAATACTACCAGATCTTTGCAACAGGTCTCTCCACTCTCCAACATTTCCTGTCAGATTGATTCCCTATGTTCCTACACTTGCCTCCCCTAAGTACATTTTACTATGCCCTCCGCCCACTCTGCCACTCACCACGATACTCCAATGTTCTCAGTGTAAAATCCAACTTCTCAGGTTTCCATCTTTCTCTGTCTCCGGGTTCCTTTTCCACTGCCTTCCAAGGTGAACCCTTTGGTTTAATCACCTGGCTCCCTCTCTGATCCCTAAACAGAGCACACGCTTGCTCACTCTCCCCACCTGTGTTTTCTCCTTGTCCTGCGTGTGCAGGTATGTTTCTCAATAGGGTGCAGGATCCTTCAAGAGCAGAGGTAGTTACCTGTTCATCACCATTTTCCTCACAGCATGTAGCCCATGCCTACCACCAGGATGTTGCAACAACCCCAATTGTCCACCTGCACTACCTTCAGCCCCATCTTATGCTGCTCAAAATGAATGTCCACAAGCAGTCACATTTTATGACCTGATGCTCAGAAACTCATGAGGTTTTACTTTTTAATTTTAATTATGGTAGCAAAGTTTTATTATATACAAATTAGAAATACTGACAGGAATTGCATATGTGTGTAGGGGGAAGCAACATATATTTCTGCCTTTAAAAATACATATATATTGAAATTCTAGACTTTGAAGCCCATGTTCTGTGTTGGTTGTAAGAATAGCTTTGGGTGCCCATGGACTTGCGGCTGGCAGGTCTCTGTCCTCTAGGTAGCTGATCTCAACCTTCCAGAAGTAACTGTTTGAAGAGGGATCCATGGATGTGAAGGCAGAGAGGCTGAGATAGCGGGGCAATCCGTAGTCACAAGATCTGGCTTTGGTTCTGGTTTTATGGCTGACTCCTGAGTAGCCTTGGCAAAAGCCACTTAAACTCCCTGGGCCGCAGTCCCCTCAGCTGTAAACTAGGAAGTCTAATATTTAAACTCACAGGGTTATTGTGGGAATTAACTGTGGTAATTGCTGTAAAATGCCTCGTAAATTATAAGGGGCTTTGCAAATGTTAGTTATTATTAAGAAAACATTGTGGGTATTTCCAGGTGTTTTGGTTTGTTTATTTTTTTGTTTGTTTGTTTGTTTGTTTTGGGCAATACCATATGTGTTTACAACTGCCCTAGAATACTTTCTGTTATGAAATGTGTGATTTCTCTTGTGTCTGTATGATTGTTCCCTGCCACAGTTCTAACTCTATTCATATTTACACTCACCAGAGTCAATGTCTTAACAAAAATTCTTCTCTTTATTGTTTGAAGACTGCTGCTCAAGCTATTATTAGTAACCCAATTAAGTATTATAGCTAAATTTTCCATTTTAGATGTTGATTCCAACCTTGAACTCAACTACACACACACACACACACACTATCAGATTTCTTTTTCTCCCTCTCTCCATCCTTCCTTCCTACCTTCCTCTTCCCTCGTTTCATGCCTCCATCTCTTCTTTTTTCCCCTTTCCTCCAATGAGAGTCTAGAAACATTCACATCAGTAGATGCCACATGGACCTTTGACCGGAGTGACTCTGTGTACTTCTCCCCTGCCTGAGTCTACTTGAAACGCTTGTAAAGCCTTTTTCTCCAGAGCATACGGTTAGGCACTAGCAGGTATAATGTAATTGTGTATTATTTACCAGTTAGGTCCCAGCACAGACTTAAATTTAATGCATAATCTACTATGCATAAGGCCTGATTACTGAAGAACATTCCCCAGGCATTCCACAGCCTATAGGGGCAATGCATTTTCCATGATATGATGGGAATTATTGACTCACTGGACCAGAACACACTTGGAGTCCACATAATGACCCTTGTTTCCACAATGGACTAAAAAGCCAACAGACTCTGATTTCTGGCTTATTCACAGTTTGCAGATTATTGATCTGATAATGAATCAAGTCTTCATCCTCTGGGGGTTCTCAGCTCAATGTATGTGCACCCCCCTTCAAGAGGCCTGGGTCTCGGAACTCCCCAAATCAGCACCTGCACAGCAGCTGCCCCTGGTGTTCAATTGCTCAGATTGTGTTTGTCTTTAAAGTGTAATATTTCAGCCTTCCTTAAAACACACAAGGTCAGGGAAAGTGATACCCCCTAGGAAATAATAAGTGAATTGCCATAGACATACAATTATAAACAAGAAAGGCATATAAAAATATAATCATAGAACTTTCAAGCTGGAATAAAATGCAGTAAAATTGTTTACAATTTATCACACATTACAGTTAACCTTGATGGATTAAAGACAAACCTTTTTTAAAGTGTGTGTGTGTGTGTGTGTGTGTGTGTGTGTGTGTAGTGATATTCCTGAAGGGTTATTGTTGGAACTTGTTTAATCCAATGCCCTCATGTTATGCAGCCTCTCAGGGAACTGTGTTCTCTAGTGGCTAACTTAAGCTACACAAGAGCTACATGGAGCATTCTGGGGGGGATGATCAGAACTTGATTTTATCCCCATGCTAGTCTATTAGAAAAACTATCTCCTGAAACTATAATAATAAAAGCGTAATATGCTAATTAGATGGGACATTCTTCTGAATGTCCTTCCAGACGACCTTCCTGACAAAGCCGGGGCTGCGAGGGAAGCCGGGGTCCTGGGTGCCAGAGGAAAGCCGGTGCCGGCAGCTGGGGGAAGGAAGGCCTACTCTTGCATAAATTTTGTGCATTGGGCCTCTAGTTTTAATATAAAGGTAAATTCTGTTTTGAATGACCACTCTCTCACATATGCAGATGAAACAATGCATGTTGCTTCTCCATTTTCATGGCCTTCCCGTCCCCACCAGCCTCTCCAAGTCATTTTCCACCTCACACTCTAATGGAGATCCTTCTGTTTGAGCAGAACTCCAAATCAGTACCCATGATCTCCCACTTCCTCTCTCCCTCTTCTCCTCTGGAAGTACCCCTCTTCCCATGCCTGTCTTCTTGCACGAGAGTGGATGGTTTCTGAAGCAGATTCCTCTGTTGCGATCTCCGGAATTCATATATGTGAAGTGTTCTCTCTGTATTTTTTGAGAAAAAGAATGAATGGATACAAAATGGGTCCAGCCAGGAATCCACTCTAGAAGGCTTCACTCTCTGATGTGGTCCATATTCTACCAGATCTTCACATTTTTTTTAAGATGTGAAAGATTGAAAAGCTCTCTAAACTCAGAAATGTTTTTCTAGTGATAGGATTTTAGCTTCGATGCAAGCAGAGAAGTCTTGAGTTGTAAGTTTTTGAATGGCAGGTACTTGATCTATTTTCCCTCAAGGGCTCATAAGCACCACAAAGGCAATGTTCTTTTTCCTTCTTCGTGTTTAACCCCCAACAGTCCTCATTATATTTCTCTGTTCAACAAATGTTGCTGTCCAGCTCTTTCTATTCTTCCCATCCCCAGATAACTTAGAGGTAACTATAATACAATTTTCTGCAACTTACTGCATGAAGTCGTTAAAGATCCTCTGTCAGGTAATTTATAAAAGAACATTCCAGGCTGTCCTTCACATTCACAGGCTCAAAGTTCAAGCAACCTTTACTTGTACACATTGTACTTTAACCACCTTTGGCCCAGTGATTTGAGGGTATTATCCATCAGTGGATGAATGGTAATGCCGATCTCTGGCCCTCTGTGCTGCTGACAGCTGGTACTTCTGGGGAAGGTGCTGGCCCTCACTGTTGCTGGGAGGCTGTGATGCTGGGATGCTGGGATGCTGGGATGCTGGGATGCTGCATTGCTAGAGGAAAGTATCTTGAGACAGTGTGGTCCTCATGCTCAACACCAAGTGGCACAAGTTCCATAACACGGCGAGGGTAATAATTGTGCCTCAACACCTATATCTCCTTTCTAGATATTCTAAGCAAAACTGAGAGATCTGCTACCAAATCCAGAATATCTTCTTTCAGCAAACTACCCCTTATTTCCCATTCCTTCTCACCTCATTCTCTCTTCATGCAAAATGACATATAAGGCAGAGAGGGTTTCTGATAAGCAATTGGGCAAGTACCTTACCTAGAAAGGTTATGTTAAAACATCAAGTAGAGGTTTAAAAATCACAAGCTGCTTTTTACTTCACAAAAATATTTGAATTAAACATCAGTCCATTGAATTTGATTCACTGATATAAAGTCATGGCTTACATGTCCAATAAAAATTTCCTTGACATCAGCCAGTTAACCTGCATATGAGGCAATGATTTGTTAACTATCTTTCTTTTATTGCAAATACCATTTGGCTTTCAGCGTTTTAGCCATGACAAATTTACAATATTACTTTTGAGAGTGTTATTGATATGACAAAGTAAGATTTCAGGCTCACCATCATTGCCTTTAAATCCACCCTTATCTCAGATCTAAACATCCACAGTACAAGTTTCTCAGAGGTCGTCAAATCCCAATTCTTCATCAGACCAGTTAGAAGGTTGCACAGTCAACACACATCAGCTCTATAATCACACATAGTGAACATAGTACAAATCATGAGGTAGACCAGAAGGCTTCCCTTTAACAGCCATTCAGTGATCCTGAATAGTTGGGATTGATTTTGGAACATCCTCCCCTAGGCACAGATACAGCTATAAATATACCCTCTTGTTCTATTGACAGGAGCCTCAAGAGGCTGATATTCATCTGTCTCAAATAAACTCCTTTGAACTCTTGGGGAATTCCCTTTAGCTTTTTCATTACCACTCTGAAATTATACACAAATAGTTAGTTGACAGCATGCCCTTTATTTGAACATTATTAAATATACAATTATCACATATATTATGTTCTATATGCAGGTAAGTTCCTTCAGGATAATGCATATTTTCAACAACAACAACAACAACAAAATGAATTGTTAAATCACTCTTCAAGTGCTGTAAAACCAACTCTCAAATTGTGGCACTAAACATTCACTCTGGCATCTACACAGACTGGCAGGAGTGTTTGACACACTCATTCTCTCAGGAAAAAATACTGCATGCATCATTGCATAATTTATTAAGAGCAAAGCTGAATAATTAGGTCATCTCCTTGTGCAAGGCTACATTTTATGATGATCTTTTTAACACTGTAATCTAAATTGGGGTTGGAGTTGAGGCATGGAGGGGGGTTGCAAGTAAACTAATAGAAAGATGCTCTTTACGAAATAACAGCTATATCATTCCATACCATTGAAAATAGGACCCATCCTCAAAAGGCTTTCAAATCATCTGTATTATTGGCTAACACGTATCAAATGTTTTACTACTAGGAAAATGATTATATAGATTTATGTGTGTGTGTATATAGAGTGTTGTGTTTTGATTTTGGTGGGGGAGGAAGAAAAGAAAAAGAAACTTAGAAGTCAATAATTTCCCCCATTAATGGTAGAAAAGAATTTTCAAATGTTAACAAAAGCAAACAAAGTCAGAGAAAAAGCTATGGCTTACCCCACAGATCCTCTTGAGCCCTGAAATGACAGTTCTGAATAGCCAATGTCACCAAAGAGACAACTCTGAATAAGCAGTTGGGATCCTTCTCAGGTGATCAAGGCAAGGAAGGCAGCCAACGTGGAGGACACATGGATGTCCAGTTGTTTGCTACCCTGGCTCCCTCAGTCCATCCTCGCTTGTTTTCAGCGCTGGAACACTAAAGTGGGTCTGTTATTCTAGGAGACTCACTTTTGAAGTCCCTCCCTTGGACTGCTCTCATTAGCATCTTGTTCTCCTTCAATGGTTCACTGATATGTGAGCACCAGGTCCTTTTCCCATTGGAGAATATGAAGTAGCCAGACAACCCATCTTAGGGCCCCAGCAAGACCATTGGAAGATCATTCTTCCTGTGGTCACTCTGGTTCTGCTTGGCCTCCCCTTTGCCACATTGCTTCCTCCTTTTTTTCCTTACACATTACTGAGAGGTTAAATTTTTACAAATCTTATATTCATAAGACATTTTTTTGTCTTTGAGCTGATGAGAGATAAGAAGGGCTCATACACCTGGCCTTCCTAGGGTGGAAAACTCCATTTGAGAAATGAAGGTTGGTACCTGAGCATACTTTACCATGAAATTCAGGTGGGAGAGGCAGGTTCCAAGGAAAGGTCAAGAGAAAGCTTCCAATAGCATCTGGTCCCTTTCTCTTTGAGAGAGGACCAGACCAAAGCCAAGTTCCATTACTGTGGTTATTTATGAATTAAAACAACTTAAAGTGCAGGCACCTAGAACTCCAGCTTTCATCTTCTTGTCATTCTCCTCTTCTTCATCATTATCACAAAAAAGAAACAAAAATTGCCTTCTAGTCTACAATATTGAGTAGAATAGTTTGCACATATTTGCCTTAAGCAGAGGGTTAAAAACTAAAGCTCACTCATATTCACTGTTTCCTTTGAACATCACATAATTGGTCCCCAAATTTCCCTGAAATCTTAGATTTCATTCTGAAAACCTTACATTAGCTATAAGTTTATCCTAAGGATCAACTCCCTTTAAGCCTCAATGTCTATCCCTTGCTTTTGGAAATGAAACTGTTTTTCCAAAAGCTCAGCATGCTATCCTTTGGGCTTTTGCTATATCTATAGCAACCACTCTGTTGGGGAACCATACAAATAAAACTAGGCTTTGGAGTCCGGGCACGCATAAAAAGATACATTGCAATAATATACATTTTTAGGATCTTTGTTTAAACCGTAACAATAGCTTATTAATAACTGCTGAGGTATTGCTGAGGCATTCCGACTAAAGAAAAAGGAGTCTATTCCTTGAAATTTAGTATATTTCCAAGATAATTTACTTTTGCATTTAAAACATTTCCATTTGCTAATTCAATTTAGACCCATGTTTAGAAGAGATTGGTGAGGGTAAAGCTCTCTGTTATTTCTCTAGAATTTCTGAATTTTCTCAAAGAGGTATACATCCCCATTTGAAAGTCATCCCTTTCAAAGAAATCTAATGGCTTTGTGAGGACATTCACCCTGCTTTTGGCATTCCTGTGAGACTGACAGAACAAGAACCAAATATTTTATAGGTGGGAATAAACAAAGAAATTACTAGTATGTCTAATCACAGTGGATTCTATGTGTTTCCTTTTAGTCAATGATTTCTTTACTAAAAGCAATCAGGGCTCCTTGGAGAAATAGTGGATTCTAGAACTGGACAGAAAATATATAAGATAAACTAGAGAATTTTGCAGCAAGCACCAAAAAAGTGAGAAAGCATTTAAATACACACACACACACACACACACACACACACACACACACACTCACACACACACCAGGAATGTCAAAGAAACACAAGAGGCAAGAGCTCCCAATAGCCAAAGCTGAAACAATTTGGACGGCAAAATAAATAAAGTAGTAAGATAAAATAAATATCCAGGAGTCTGTAGGGGAGGAAAAACTTCTACTCTCTCAGGTTCTGCAGCTGGGGCTAAGAATTCAACTGACACACGGCAGAAAAGCACACAATTTTCATTTAATATTTTTAGATGTACACAGGAGTCTTCAGAAGGAAAATGAAGACCAAAAGATGTTCAGCCCTAAATCTTAGTACTTTTTTGAACAAAAGATGAGAAATCGTGGGGACGTGACAAGACAAAGGGGTTTGGATTAGAGGCAGCACTTTGTGCGACAGTGACCAGGAAATAGATGGGGGGAACTAATGGGAAATCAGAGTGATTTGGTAGGATTGTTTTTTCAGGTCCATGTCAAAGGTGATAAGAATGTTATCATCCTGGGACTGAGAGGCATCTTTTTATGGAACATTTTAGGACCAGGTTTTAGGTAGAAAAGGTCAGAGAGTTCTTTCTGAATTTGCTGTTTCTCAAGTGCCTTCGGCTCAAGATAATCAATGTGCCAAAGGGGCATGTTCTCAACCTCTTCAAATACATACTGACATAAATAAGTAAGTAAGTAATAAATAAATAAGGAGAATAGACAAATATCCCAAACAGAAGAATTTCAAATAACTGTGTAGAAAATCAGCCCTAGAGAAGGTGGAATGTAACTCCCCACTCTCTGAGTACAGGCTGCTCATAGCGACTTCCTTCCCAAGAGATCGCATGCAGTATGGGCAAAGGAAAAAGAGTAACTTTCCAGTTGATAAGCCTCACAAACATTACAGCAAACATAAACAAAATGATGTCTCTGGGTAGCATGTACCCTTGATATGAAGTAATAAGAATGGCACTTTACCTCTGTGATCTTCCTCAACAAAACCACAATTCTGCTCTAATTATGAAGGGAACATCAGACAAATCCTGACCAGTAGCCCTCAAAACCATTAAGGTCATCTAAAAGCGGAAAATTTGACTTTTTGTCACAGGCAAGAGGAGCCTAAAGAGATATAATGACTAATGTAATGTATTCTGGATGGGAACCTAGAAGAGAACAAGGTAAGAACTAAGAATATTGGAATAAAAGTATAAAAAGGTATCAATATTGGTTTATTAATTGTAACAAATGCACCATACTGATATAAGATGTTAGCAATAGGGGAAAATAAGTGTAGGATAAGTGGGAACTCTATCTTTGCAATTTTACTATAAATGTAAAGTCTTCCATAAATCTAAAATAAAAAGTCTATTTCTTACAAAAAGAATCTACTTACTACATTGCAGGCACAATCCAAGGGCATGGGCACATTGGCACTCAACAAATGTTTGTTAAATGTATGAAAATAAAATTTGTTCCTTAGTCTCTGTGAGTTGACCTTCATACATTACCTTCTATCCAAGAGGTCATATTTTATTTAATATCAGAAATGACTTTGAGTATAGAAATGGCATATGAAAAGAACAAACTCTACTGTGGAAAAAATCAGAAGTAATTTCTTAGCAATGAAAGTAAATATTAACATTGCTTATAATCCCCATCACAACAGAACTTTAAAAATGATAATGCTAATAAGAGACTACGCTTTTTTATTTTCAAAATACTTGCACATTTATTTGCAATGTCAATTCCTGCAGTTCTCAGTAATGACTTGAGAAAGGCAAGATAGCTGTTATGTTCTCCTTTTAGAGCATCAACAATCTAGACTTAAAGAGACAATGCACGGTGTGTTTAAGGCAGAGAAGAAGTGCTTCATAATCACTCAGGCACACCTCATTAGATTGTGCTTCGCTTCATTGCATTTTGCAGATAGTATGCTTTTTAAAAATTGAAGGTTTGTGGCAACCCCAAGTCCTGTAAGTCTATTGGCACCATTTTTCCAACAGGCTCAGATGAAGGTTAGCAATTTTTAGCAATAAACTATTTTCTAATTAAGGTATGTATATTGCTTTTAAAAAAGAAATGTGCCATTGCATACTTAATAGATTACAGTATTGTGTAAACATAACTTTTATATGCACGGGGGAACCAAAAAGTTTGTGTGACTTGCTTTGTTGCAATATTCACTTTATTGCAATGGTGTAGAACTGACCCTGCAATATCTCTGAGGTGTGCCTGCATTGGCAATAACTAGGTTGTGGCATGGGAAAGCTGTCTCACTTTTCTGGGCTTTAGTTCCTCTATCTGAAAAATGAAAAGTATTTCCATGATAAAGGAGAGTTTATGTATAATATACCCTTCTAACTCCAAACACATAAAAGAACATAAATTTATTTATTTCAAAATAAATACAGACCTGCACTAAATATTACCCCCCCAAATCAAAGGACCTGAATGGAATGGAAATTACAGGTATAGGCCGAGGCTAGAGCCCCCTGGTCACCAAGGGGATGAGACCAGCTATGTGTGGATAATCTAGGCGAGCCCCTCAAATGGGAATGTGTGGGTTTCAAACTGGGCTCAGACAATGCTTCATAGAGATCTACTGCCCAGGTGACTTCTAGAAACATGGTGTTATCATAAAGCCAAAGGCCTAAGTCAAGATTCTCACCTGAGCCTGGTTCCCAGGGTTTTGTAGGTACAGGCATTGAGAATGGACCTGAGCTGCTAACATAAGGCTCCCTGTGGGTCCAGACATGGATAAATGTGGGCTGAAATAATCATAACATGGCCTGTGAGGAAAAAGGCACAGGAAGCTACCCCCCAACAGATGAGTGAAATCAAAGAAATGGGATAATCCTCATTCAAGGAAACAGATATAATAGACAAGTTTAAAGAGATGTTTTTGTGTTGTTGTTTTTTAAATCAACATCTTTGAAATCATCAAAGTAAGGGAGGGTAATGGGAATCTTGGTAGTGGGCTAACTATTAGGCTAACACAACCAAAGACTTTTTCAAGTAAAAGAGAGAACTGAGGAAATTTCCTAGGATGAAAATAGAAAGACCAAGTGATAGAGAAATGAAAGAAATTGACATGGAGGCTGAGAAATACCAACATGTCTAATAAGAATTTCAGAAGAAAATATTATAAGAAGAATAGGGAGAGGGTCTAAAAGAGTTAGCAATGGCTGAAACTTTACAGAATTAGAAAGACATAAGACATGAGTATTCCGATTAGGGAAACCCACTGTTCACACAGCAGGAGAAATAAAAATATATCCACACACAGACATTGCAATGGAGAGACTGTAAAATCTGACCAGAGGAGATAAATTACCCAAAAAGAACAGCAGTCTAGTTGACAGCTCATTTTTTCATTAATAAAAGAACTAGTTCAA